TTTTTTTTTTTTTTGTTTTTTGTTTTTTTGAACTTCAGAAATATGGGGAATGGGAATTTTCGGAGGAAAGGACTCAAACATAACATAATAATGGTTAGGCAACTAGCAGTACTAATGCTCGTTACATGACTTACCACAATAAAACCTGTCCGTGACTTCTCTAAACCACCCAGCTTTAAGTAGTGTATGGTGCAGCGCAGAACTGCAAATTTTGAATGGATTTGATGAACCCAATAAAACTTGCAAAGTTTCACTGGAGGAACTGGTGAGGCTGTCCTCCCTTTGTTCGTTCTTCCTATTCTTTAACAAGTAGAAGCTGCACAGTGATAGCTAATCTGCACATTTTGTTGGGTTTATCTCACTTCCTTTTCTTGGGATGAGCATCAGCTTCTGTCAAGTTGGTGCACACTGTTTCCCTTCACATATACTGGATTTGCTTTTGGTCTTCCAATGCCATCATCATCTGATACCCTTCATGATGCTCACGCTGTATTTTAGGTAACCCTCCTCATATAATCAAAACGAGGGTTATCCATTCATGTCCTGAGAAGGTTAAAACTTGGTTATTGTTCAGACCCTTGACCTTGACATCAGAAAGATTTGTAGGACTATAGGAGATTGTATCCATTCACAAGCGAGAAGTGAGAAAATTAGCTTTATTAATGAATTTATCACATGTTGATTCATAACTTTTGGAATTTTATAGAACTCGTGACACGCACTTGACCCTTAAGGCTTAGTGGCATTAATCATTGGTGCATTTTTCCCTCTTCCCCTGGTAGGGTTCAATACCGTCCCTTGCAAAATATGTTAAAAAAAATAACAATAAAAAATAAAACTCGTGACACTATTTCCAAAGTAGTACTGATTGCCTCATATTGCAGCACTACCTCTTCAGTGTAGCCTTCTTTTTCCAACATAAATCAGAAAAGGAGTCCCTGCTTTCTTCTTGGAAGCCATGATCAATCAACATGTTTAGAAGGAACAAGGGGGGCTCAAGGTGAGTCACTTGTATGTTGTGGCTGCGACATAATCTCCATAGGACTTCTGCATCTAAATATGAAATTGGTGAGCCAATCTATAGAATCCCGTTTGACAATAGCAGCGAAACTTCATTCATTGAAGAACCCACATATACATTTGATTGCAAAATTGGGAAAATAGTAGTAGTAATCAATTTTGGGGGCTAACCTAGGAGATCTTAATATAGTAATTTGCTAACCGAACCAGTCTAGGAATTTAAAAAACTACACCGTAATAGTACTACTACATTTTTGTCTCCCAAGCTCTCAACTCTTGGCATAGGTCGGTGATTGCCAAGACATTAATACAACGTTTTCTTTAACAGGTGTTGACCAGCAAAGCATGAGCTACCCCATGCATACAGCATATGTTTATTTAAAGCAAACGAGGAGGGTCAAAAACACACTTCTCAATGATGTCTCTCCCTCTGTCATATGGTCCATGTTTCCTAGAAAAAATTAATAGTCGGAATCAAAATCCGAAGTGAGTTTTAGACTTTTGATTCAATCATTTTAATGCTCATTCATGGAACCCCAATTAAACAACCCTCTTCTCTCTCTTTTTTATATACATTGCTCAATTCTTCTGAACCCTCTCCCAGTGGCCGGAGCCAGGAATTTTAATCATTCAAGTCTTAAAATAATATATAATAATTTTAAAAATTTATGTTTACATTATAAATTAAAATAATTTTGATTAGTCTTCATTTTGCGAAATTAAAATAATAGAGTCTATACTAAATATTTGAATAATATCCTTTTCAATATAAACAACCAAAAAGTTTAAAAGGAATTCATCTTTTATTTTATTGTGAAGTTTTATTTTCACAATTTTTATGGCAAAAATGCTTCTTATATTGTTGTCGTAGATGCTGAAAGAATAATCATCCAAGTAATTAACTTGAAAGTGAGACTATAAATCTCTGATTTTCTTGTTTCCACAAGCTATTAACATAGCTCATAAATGTTTAACAAATTCTAAAAACCTTGATTACAACTTGTTTCTATCTCTGTTTTCTCAAAAATTCTTAAGCAGCGCCGCATATGTGGAATTTAGATGCAGACATGCCATTTATTTTTCTGAAAATAAGAAAGAAGGATCTTTTCAACGACTTTCTCATTCCTCATAGTTGACCTCCTTGTAGATGATGAGAAGAATGTTTGTTTGCAATTAAACTTTGCACCTACAAACAATTTACAAGAAGGAGGGATGCTTTCTTATAGAATGAATTACTAAATCTATCTTAAACAGTTGCGATGACTTAAACACTTTCATGGACTTAAGTTGATAGACCCTAAACTATACGAAAAGAAAAGTAAAATAAACTTAGAAGAACAAGATGTAACCAAATTAAATTAAGGTGTTCATTGTCAGATAATGTTTGCTATATTACTCCATTGATTTCAAATTAACTTTTCTTTTTGCCTGTACATTGCACTAGTTATTCTTCTATTCTTCATATTAGAGCTTACATTTTATATTCTATTTAATCAACACTTAAATTTTATACTAATTTTATAATTAAAAGATTCTAATTAAGTGATTAAGGTTAGGTTTGCGATTGCTGCTGGTAATTAACAAGAATATTTTTTCGAAAGGTTGTACAAAACCACATTAAAAAGAAAGAATATTAAAAGAATTCAAGAAATATTTAATATTAATCTTTATCTTATAGTCTAAACAAATATGTTTATTATTATTATTATTGTTGTTGTTGTTATCATCATCATCACGGTGGTGGTGGTGGTCTCAATTAAGGATTCATGTTATTTTTTCTTCTCTCAACTAAAGAATTAAAGTTAAATAAAAGTTAAATAAGAATATGAACTCCTTCAGATCTTGCATTTTAATTGCTTTAAAATTATGATCTAATAGCAAATAAAACTAAATAACGCTCCTATTAATTTCTAGTCTAGTTATTTTAGCCTGTGCATTGTACAAGATTTTATTTATTTTTATTTTTATTTATATTGTGTGTTTTTTTTATAAATTTTATTAATTTTCAATCCAATAATCCAATATTTTTTACTTTCTAATTTATTAATAATTTTTTCACATCTTCCTTAGTTATTTTTAATTCTTATTGAATAAAATTTATTGTCCTTAAAAACCAAGGTTAAAAAGTATCAACTATTATTTTAATAAAATATTAAACTATAATTGTCCTTAATATGCAAGATCTAGATAAAGTATTATTAAAAATAAGGAAAAGTATTTCATAATCTTTTTTTTTTTGATTACATAAGTATTTACCAACTCTTTTTTTTTTTTTTTTTATAATTGCTTGACTTGCAAAATTTTGTTTTATGTTTGTTTTTTCCTTATCCCCTCTCCCATTTTCAATTTGTTGTTATTTTTCTTTGTTCTTATTTTATTCCTTAAGTTGCATTTCAAAGTATTTTAATTTGTTAATATAAGTGTTAAAATAAAAGTAACAAAAAGAAAGCGATTTAAATAAGACTTTAATGCAATTGAATGCAAATTTTTAAATATATGTAAGTGTAATATTAGAAGTATATGTGAATTTAGAAGGGATATAAAGTGGAATTTATATAGAATGACAAAAAAAATTAATAATAACAGAATATGAATAAAATAAGAAACATAAGAGAAAAGGGAAATTGAGGATCTCCTGACATTTAGTTTTATGATGAATTTGATAAAGTTGAAGTTCACATTATACATTATATATTTAATAGTTGTGATTGAATATCATGACATTTTTTATGCCATTATGCCTTGATTTTCCTTTTTTTCAAAACATAATAACTTCTCACAAAAAAAAAAAAAACTTAATCTCTATCTAATTCATACATTTTTTGTTCAATTTAGTGTATTTGTCAATACAATTATTACTTTGATGAACTCTCATCCATGAGTATAGTTCTATACTTATCACAAACATAAAAAATAAAAAAAAAAGAAAAAGAAAAAGAAAAAAACTTTTAAACCATTAATAATCTAAAAAGAAAATAATGCATAAATTTCAAGCATATAAAGTTACATATGAAATTCTTTCAATGGTGGAAATGGACATTTTGTTGGTATAGTGACGATTAAACACAACCACCAGATGGTTGGGAAAATGAATTGCATGATCCACCAAATGGATTCATGATGGGCCAACAAGGTAAAAATGCATATGCTGTTCACTTTAAACTCTTCAAGTCCTTAAACATATTAAATATCAAATTATAATAATTTTTATTATTTTTGTTTTAAAAACAAATAATTTTTTTTATTAAAACATTTATTTTTTTCATGTTTTTATCATTAAGATTTATAAAAAGAATCTTTATTGACATATTTCTCACCAAAACCTCCATATTTCTCTTCTAGTATCCTCCCCCAAAGACCGCCACTGCCATGCGCCAGCTTCTCCCACCACTTACCTAAAAGAGCCGAATTGAAATATCTCAATTTTTATGCCGAAGCCACCATTATCTTTACGAGTGCAACATCTAACAATAAATTCTTGATTTTGTAAACATTCAGATTCAGACTCTTAAAAAAGGAAGGTACGAGGGTTATACGAGTCCATCTCAGTATTTATAAAAACTAAAGGGAGAAAAAAAAATTAAAAGTTCATATCCCTGAAGATAAAGAACACCCAGTTGGGGAGCATGCTCGTGATCTGGCAAATATGTGCGGACTTGTGATTAGAAACAA